AGGAGATCAAGGTCACGGGAGAGGAAGCGCCCAAGGTACATGTCACAGTACATGTCTTTAAGAAAGTGAATTGAAGTATCTGCTCTTCTGTGAGGGATGTTCTACCTGTGATGTTCTGCTTGCTGTGGTTACTTGTCATGGCTGCCTCTGGCAGGTGTGAAATTAGGTAAAGCGCTAGGTAGTAAGTTTCTCTTAGGTTAAGTTTATCTATGTTTCCACCCGGTGGAAATGGTACTGTAGCTGGATTTTGTAACTCTGTTTCTGGCCTTCATGGTTCTTAGCTTTCTTTGGCAGGGCACTGCTGAAAATGATCTTTCTTTCCCCTCACTTCTTAACAGGCCAATTTATGTCACGTTTTCCCCAACACAAGTATGTTTTTATTTTTAAAAAAATTACAACCATATGTATGGAATGCTAAATAAAACATTTTTTCTCCTGTGGCAGACGGTCCAGAAGCAGAGAGCGAGAACGGAGCAGAGAGAGGAGAAGAACACGGAGTCGGGATAGGAGACGATCCAGAAGCAGAAGTAGAGGTAGACGGTCCCGATCCCCCAGTCCTGGCAAGAACAAGAAAACAGAAAACAGGTACAAGCATTCACTGCTATAACTGCTGTCCCAGTAACAAGGCATGGTGAAAACTTATTGTAATCTGTGTTTCTGCAGGTCCTGGCTATAGTTGCCAGATAGAGGATTTAGCTAATATTAAATGAGTTTGCCTCTTCCTGTAATTATTCTTTTAGTCAGGAAACTTTTTTTTACTGTTACAATGGCATGCAAAGGTGTTTTCCCAGGAGAGATCTCGTTTCCTTATGTGTAAGTTTGCAAAATGACACTGAGTCTTTAATCTAAGTGACTGACAGCCCCTTTGTATGTTGCATAGTTATATTTGTTTTACAAATCCATGACCTCATCAGCTTCTTAAGCTATTGGCAGCTGTTAGAGGATCTTCCTAGATAATTAACTGTCACTGGTCCAGCAGTGTACTCAGAAAGCCCATGCAGAGGGCTAGTTCATGCATTAGGTTAATCTTTCAGCTGCAGAAACTGAAATGGACTCATTTCTCTTCTGTGGACATTGGTCCTCAGTAACGAGAGAGAGAATCCAGTGGAAACCCTCCACATTTGTTGGAGAATAAAATAGGCCATCTGGAAAGATTTAACACATTTTGGCAAAAAAGGTAATATTATTTAATACCTGCCATTATTGTATTTTGTGGATATGACGCATCTTTACCAGGGGCAGCAAGCTTCTAATGAGGACGTATTTGCTCCCTGCCAGTTGCTGACTTCATCTGGGATGTGGGCTGTATTCCTGGCTCTATTGTCAACTTAGTGTGTCCCCTCTGAAAAGTCAGTTGAACTCTGTTTTTTATAATATTAAAATTCAAAAGATTTTGTGAAAAGTAATTGGTAATCATAAATTCTTGGGGTGAATTATGTGACAGATCAAATGCCAATCATCCAGGTACTGGTTTCCCACTTATAAATTGTATGACTCCTTTTTCCCACTGTTCTCTGGCAGATGAATTATTTATTTTGGAGATGTATGTATTTTTCTTTTAATAACAGAACGAGAGTCATTCATAGCAATGGATTCAGAATAGTAATGAAAGAAGAGGCAGGGTTTCTCACACTGTTGTTATGTGTGCCAGTAGTGATACCTGAGCTTGACATTCCAGCAATTTTTTGAGAAGGTGGTATGTGAACCAGTAGTATTTGAGAGCTGCTTTTCTGTGGTATCCATGCCAATAGATAAGTCTGTGGTATAACACTTTGGAGAAATAGGCTAGGACCAAACTTGTACATGTTTCTTAACTGTTTGTTGAACACTGCCTGTGTGCTCAGCACCAAGTAGAACAGGGGTGCCACAGATGGCATGGGCAGCCTGTATCTGTGGCACACTGGACCAGGGAGGGGACAGGCAACACAGTGGCAGGGAAGGCAGGAAGCAGAAGACATAGCAGCATATTGGGCAGAAGAATGGGATCAGAGAGACATGTGTGAAGGATGTGGGGCTAATTTGTGGCATGCCTGCCATAAAGGTTGGCCCCCACTGATTTAGAACATGAATTAGACAAGGGCCCTACCATTGGGAGTTTACATTCAAATGAACTGACTGCTAAATAGTCATAGTGAAGTGGTGAAGTTTGATCTCTTTTTACACTGGGTTAGAAATAAAGTAAAACCTAACTTCAGGTCATGTGCCATTTTAAATAACTTCTTATTGGAATTTACAGTATAATTGCAAAGAGTCAAGTTGTATTGTAAAATAATTTAAAAGTATGTAAACTGTTACGCTGATGTTTATATAGAATAAGCAGGATGATGACAATCCAGTATTTTAATCATGAAATCACAAGAATTACACTTGGAGAAGTTGGAATGACATAAAAATGTCTTGTAAAATAAGCATATGGTTTGCATTAAAATAGCCCAGTGGGCTATGAAACAGCTTAATAAGATTTAATTGAGTAAAAGGAATTTTACATTTATTATTCTGAGTTTAGATGTTTAGATTGGAGACATCTACTTTTTATTGGGAGGAGGTAGGCACAGTAACATTTGTGATAAATGGATTTAATATCAAATGCATGTCTGCCTGTTGCATTCAATTTATAGGTAGCCTTTCCTGGAGGGGAGGTGTTTTTATGTCTTTCAGGCAGTAGCCTATCCTCAGGGGGAACTTGCATTTCTAGGGCAAAGTGCTAGATCACTTTGCCATTAGAAGTGTAACAGGCAAGAATTTCTGAGTATCTGTGTTCTAACTGCTGTATTCAAAGAGGTGTAAAATAAACTGTGGAGCCACTAGAGTATCAACTGTACGTGTTTGGAAACAAAGCCTGAAACTTCCTCTGAGAAATAAATGAGGAGAACAGAACCAGAGTGTGTATGAATCAGTGGGTCCTAATAGAGTCTACGTATCTGTCAGTTGTGGGACTTATTTCCATGAAATGGAGAGATTTGCTGTGAAGTGATACATACTCTCAAAAGCATTTAAAAAGCATAAGCCTATGCATAGTGTTAATGGCAGTGATTCTGTCCAGCATGTGAAACCTCCAAAGAAAAGCTGGAACAGTTTGTGAAAGTCTGTCATACATCTTTGATTTCCCCTTTCAGATCAAGATCTAAAGAAAAGACAGAAGGTGTAGAAGTTACCAAGGAAAAGAAAAAAGAGAAAGAGGACAAAGAAGAAGAAAAGGATAAAGAGGTTAATGTATGTATAAATCTGCCACCAAGAGAGAAACGTGTACGAGTTAAACGGGAGCTTTCATAAATGCTGTAGCATTAGAATACATTTAGATAGGATTTATTGTAATTAAAAAGAAAAACAACTTTAGATAATCCCCTTTTAGGTCTGGGCAATGTCCTTGTGAGTGTGAGGGGGTTAATTGCTGTACCTTGGGAAGTAGGATGGACTCCTACTATTTGACATAAACGTTTTCTCCTTAAGGCTGATCACCTCAGCTTACTGGATGCAAACGTACCAGCTGGTTGTGAACTCATTATGTCACTTCCTTGTGATTGACTGAGGAGCTGAAAAATAACCCGGAAAGAGACCAGGGAAGAAGAGGAAGAAGCTCAATCCACCGCTGTTATTTTCCCAAGCCTAGAGCTCCTCTCCAGTTATGGACACTGCTCCTTTCCAGGGGAAAGAAACAGTGTCTCAAGGGCAACCCTCTATCTTTGTATTTGTTAGCACTGGAGCCCTAAAACCAGAATCCCCACCCAACCCATTCTACAGCATGTGCTTCCTCCACCAGCACTCTGACATCAGGCTCCCTCTATCCATAAACCACTCAGAGTTGCTTTATTTAATTCAAAGGATTATGGAAAATAGTGGATGGTAAGAGAACTCTTTTGGCCTTTTACTGGCTCACAAACCAAAAAGAAAAAAGGTTGAACTGTTGCTGTAGTGTACTTTTCCTAAAAGATTGAGCAACTGGTTCAGGAGTATTGGTTTGGAAAGATCTATCCATAGGACCATCTGGCACTGGATGTGTGATGTTTTATATTCAGGTGTTACAGTTAACATCAGTATTTTCTTTCCTTCTATAATAAGTTTAACTTCTGTTGGTATAGGTTTTATGGAGGCCAGACTTGCAACCCATATTTCCAGTAAAACTGCCACTGATCTGATGGCGAGTTGTATGAAGAAGTGCAGGATCAGAGCAATAATCTTTGAGTTGGTTGTTTTTTTCTCACAGAACTTTGATCAGAACAAACTGGAGGAGGAAATGAGAAAACGAAAAGAGAGAGTAGAGAAATGGAGGGAAGAACAGCGCAAGAAGGCTATGGAAAACATAGGAGAATTGAAAAAAGAAATTGAAGAAATGAAACAGGGGAAAAAATGGAGCTTAGAAGATGATGATGGTATTTTAAAATTTTGATTTTACATAATAATTCAACAAATTCAGCTTTTACCCCTAACAATAAAACCTAGCTTTGTATTTTCATTTGATTTTAAAATTTCTCAGCTGCTTTTGTCAAATGTGTTGTAGTGAAATAGTTTTGTTCATGGACACAAACAGTTTAGGAAACAATAAATGAGACCAGCAAGCTCTGGTTTTGGGAATGGAAGAGAGGACAGAGTGAACCCACCAATTATTGGGCAGCTATACAAGTTAGTTATGTGACATAACGAGCAGTTCCGTGACACATGTGGATATATTTTTTTTCTTTTTCCCCTTATTCCTCTCCCAGTTAAAAAAAAAAACAAAAAAAAAAACAACAACTTCAAATGTTGTGGTTTCAGCACTTGTTTGTGGACTGACAATTGCTACTTTTTTAACCACACTAAATTTGCAGCTAAATGGACCAGGTACTGATGACCTCCTGTCTTAGCACAGCAAATTTCATCCTCTGCCACGTGTCATTTTCAGGCCCAGGAGAATCTTCCCACTTGCATATCGCCAGGGGAGGAATATACATTGCTCTAAATGTTGATTTCTGGATTTAGAGTTCTGGCTTCTGGGGTCGTGGAGGCATGTTGGCTATGCTGGCACCCCAGGTGTGGTGTTTATTCCTCTGGAACATGTTTTGCCACGGAGAGGAGTCCATGTGTAGTATCTGTGGTGAGCTGTGGCTCAGTATTTTGGGGTTCCTGCAACTGGTGTCCAAGTCCTTGGATGGCATAAGGAAGAATCCTTTTCCTGCGCTGATCTTTGGCCCACAGTTCCTTTTTTACCTCCCAATCAGACTGACCTTTGAGAGAGATTGTTCACCTATCCTCATGGTATTCTGCTGTGCATTATACCTTTTACAATAAATGCTTCCCAGTTGTTGAGCTTCACCTTTATTAATATTCCATAGATCTGCATTATACTAAACCGTAACAAAATCCCCACAAAACATCCAATTGGAAAACAATATTTCTCTCCCTCTAACTAGATGATGAGGAGGAAACGGCAGAAGGAGAAAAAGAAGGCATGGAGGTGGAAGATGAAGAATTAGACCCTCTAGATGCTTACATGGAAGAAGTTAAAGAAGAAGTCAAAAAGTTCAATATGAGAAGTGTGAAGGGTGGAGGTGGGAGCGAAAAGGTAAAATAGGTTCATAAGATTGTCTTGTGTTTCAGTCTTCTCGAGCATAGTGTTAGCATTACGATGTAGGCAAATGCTGTTGAAGAATATATTTCAGGGGAAAAAAAAACATTCCAGCAAGTAAAAGCTAAATAATGGTACCTGCTCACCTTAACCGTAGTCTCCACAAATCAGATTTTTACTATTAACCCTATTGAAGTTTCATCTGAAGAACTAGGAGCAAAGTCTGGCTTATGCATTTGGAAGTGTACAGAATCGATATATTTTGCACAGCATATTTCTGTGGTACGTGTGGTAATATAATGGTTTTCTCTAACTATTTTGCTAGAAATCTGGACCAACTGTTACCAAAGTAGTGACTGTGGTGACAACCAAAAAGGCAGCTGTAGAATCAGAAAAGAAGAAAGGGGAGCTGATGGAGAATGACCAAGATGCAATGGAGGTAACTGGAAAGTGTTTTGTGTATACTGGGAAAAGGGGTATTTGTCTTAGAAAAAGAAGTCTCAGTATATTAGATATGTGGATAGTCTTGCTGACTTGGTTGGACTGCCCGAAGCTAGGCAGAATATACCTGACCATATATAAGATCCATCAGTGCTGTAGTTTAAAAATAACAAAAAGAACCACGCTTGCATGTTCTTATGCAGAGACAAAGTTGTTTGAAAGCTTTGGGTTGTTTAGTGTGCCGACTGTTTGATATAATTGGGAGTTGAGATATGCATGTGAGTGAACTTAGCTGACTTAACACATAGCTAATAAGATGTGTGTATGAGGGTAATTTGACTTGTGAATGGTAGTTGTACATCTGACTGGTAATTTATCTATGTTGCTGTTTTGTCTGGGTGTTCAGTTAGGACCACTAGGAGTGTAGCTGTCGCAGCTCAGAACTCAGCAAGATATGTAAGGTCTACTTGTTAGGCTGGGTAAGTACTCTGGGCAGTTAGCCTGTGCTGAACTCTGCTATGGCAGAGTGGACACGTGTGTAGCTTAGAGCTGGCTTCTATATGCCTTCATGAATTGCAGTCAGCCCAGGGATTACAGCAGGGACATAAATTTGTCAGCTGTGGCTGGTCTGTAGAGCTTGAAAAGCCAACGCTCCTAGCTGGGTTTGAGAGAAAAGTAACCTTCTCTTACTGTGTCAGTGAGCTAAATATATGCTTCTAGCTGGTTTTTACTAAATAAATTGCTATATGATTTAAAATGTATTCTTCAGTATTCTTCAGAAGAGGAAGAAGTTGATCTTCAGACTGCCTTGACGGGCTATCAGACCAAACAGAGGAAGCTGCTAGAACCAGTGGATCATGGAAAGATAGAGTATGAGCCCTTCAGGAAAAATTTCTACGTTGAAGTTCCAGAGCTTGCTAAAATGACCCCAGAAGGTAATGACAGATAATAATGGAGCATTTTAAGCTATTTGCAATGAAAGAAAATGTCTGCCAAACATTGTTGTGTAAGGCACCGGTGAATTCTCTAGGTCTTACCCTTTCCACGTAAAGCAAAAATTTAGTGAACCCTTGGGAAATGATCTACAGACAGTAATCTGAGAATAGCTGGCTTCATAGCAACCCAGTTATGGGCTACATTGAATTGAAGGATAAAAGGGAGATCCTGGAGACTGATCTGGCAGGGAGGGAGTGAAGTTGAAACAACTGAGATCGGTAATTGTTATGGATTATTTCATGATGTTATGTTTGTGGGCTGCCCGTTGTCAGTGTAATACAGTTTCTTGTACAGACCCGCATCTGTGTCTCTGGCAGGCTAAATTTTATTTCTATGCTGCAAAAAAAACTCACCTTTTTTAGACTGCACGTTTCAAGCAGACTGAGAAGGATATTGAGAAATGCTTAGAACAGTGGTTCTCAACTGTGGTGCTGCAAGAACCTGCCAGAGGTACTGCAACACTGGGGAGGAACTGCCCTGTGTGCCTAGACATGTCACAGCTAAACCAGGAAGAGCTGCACAGTAAGGCAAGACTGTCTGCATTGCATTAGGCAGACGTGCTGTTTCTCCTGCAGCTTTTCCTGGTTTGGCTTTCCGAAAAACTGAGATGCATGGCAGTTCTACCTGGTGGCAGCAGCATCTGTCTCCAGGCTGCTGCCACCATGGGGAGAAACTGCCCTGGTGCCTTGGTTTGCAGGAAGCAGGTCAGAGCTGCACTGGGAAGAGCCACAGGAGAAGCAGGGTGCCTGCCTGATGCAGTACAGGCAGGTGCATTTCTGTTGCAGCCAGTTCTTAGTTTGGTCTAAATGTGCCTCCTGAAAACTGAGGTGCACTGCATGGTGTCACCCCACAGCAGTGGTAGTGTCAGTGCCATGGCATGCCCTGGTGTTCCCACTCTACCCTCACGTATCCTATTGTCTACCCCCTGCTACTCCCACCACCTCAGCGCTCTCCATGTGCTGCATGTGTAGCCCAGTGTCTTGTACTGCTGGCTGTGTCCCCAGACTCTCTCTGTTAGGGCTGGAGTTCAGGGCAGGTTGCGGTGGGGATCTAAAGGGAGAACTTGCCCCACTGGTTCCTGATTCTCATCAGTGACTTGGAGCCATATGTGGGGAGTCCACTGCTGTTCTGGGAGCAAGCACGCACTAGGCCAGGCAGAGCTAGTGGGGCGTTCCCTGCCACCAGCCGATGGGATGAACATAATAAAAAGCAGTTAACAGCATATTGATTTATTATTGAATGCAAATGTTTATATTGTAATATCCATAATATGTTAGTTTCTAAAATGGTGTGCTGCTACATTCTGAAAAGTTCTGGGGTGGGGGCTGCTTTGAGTGTAAAAATCCCACTTGCTTAGAGTTTGTTTAATTGTATTTCAGAGGTGAATGTGTACAGGCTGGAAATGGAGGGAATTACAGTCAAGGGGAAAGGCTGCCCCAAACCAATCAAAACCTGGGTACAATGTGGTATTTCTATGAAAATTCTCAATTCCCTCAAAAAGTAAGTGAGGAATGTATCAACAAAAAATATCTATGTTCTTTTGTGTCTACCAGGAATGAGGTCTTCAGGCCAAGGTGTTACAGTTTGACTCTCTTTTTTTCTCATTATACATTAACCCTTAGGAGGTATTTAAAAATTGTTTGATAGGTGCTTACTCAGGATCGGTGTATTGGACAGTTATTAGGAACTAGTCTTTCCCATTGATTATGGAACACATTTCTAAGTTCTCTATTTTTGTGCTGTATTTTTGCATGCCACTGAGACTTCTGCTTAAGTAGAACATAGAAATCTTTCCAGCAAAACTATATGTGATTTATATCATTCACAACATTCTTTTGTTCTAACCGTGCTTTGTTTTTCTCTCTTTAAGACATGGCTATGAAAAGCCCACGCCCATCCAAGCCCAGGCTATTCCAGCAATTATGAATGGACGTGACCTGATTGGCATTGCTAAAACAGGAAGTGGAAAGACCATTGCATTTCTTTTGCCTATGTTCAGGCATATTATGGATCAGAGGTCGTTAGAAGAAGGAGAAGGTCCAATAGGTACAGATCTTTTGTTTTCAGATAGTGACAGATTTATGCTTTTTTTTAAAGTTAGGTATATTGATGTTTAAAAAACTGCATTGGGCTAATTCAGTAATGAAATCTGTGTGTATTGTAAATAATCTAGTTATGGTTAAGAAATACCGCGACCAATAAAAACGTATTCAGGAGTTTTAAATGCCATTTACCAATGTGGAATCTGGGGGCTATGTTCTGTTTTCCACGGATAGTGAGAATCTTCAGAGTTCTAGAAGAACCACCCAAAAATATCTTTTCTCTCAGTACAGCTCAGTGTTTAAACTATTCTGAGCTGGCAGGTGAAATTACTGTGCACCTGTCTCTGTTCCTCTCCCCCTCCCCACCCCCTTTTCAACATATACCTTACTTATAACAGCTTAACATGAGGAGTGAAAGGGAAATTTGCTGCTTTACCTTTTTTCACTGGATGTGGGACCGGGGCTGACTTATGATTAAGTCAGCTTTGGTCTCTCGCTTGGTTGCAGGAGATGAAGTACCGAATTCTTGATCTGCTTTGTCAGATATTTTTTGCACACTTAGCAAGGTCTTAAGACAGGTCTTCACTTCCTCTCTTGGAGATTTATTTCACAACTATCTGCTAGCCCTGAGAGAAGTTTCCTTGCTTGTAACCATTGAAGATTCTGTCATTTCAGCAAGCCACTTACTACTTTTGCGGTGTGATTTATGTATTAGGAACATTTGCATTAGTGTCGACAGTGTGTTTCCATAAGTTGGAGAGGAAGAATTTTCTTTCATGTTACTGGAGATCTGGTCATGTTTTTTTTCTTTCCTCCATCACAGGCTCAACTACTGCAGTGCTCTTGAAATAAGGGTTTTAAACTGGACACAAGTAAATTGCACTAAAATTGTATTACTGTACTGGGGGTGGTTAAAACTTCACTATAAAATATTTTTTTTTACTGTGTCATTAATAGCATCAATTACATTTCTTGTTCTGTGGGTTCTAATATTTTTATTTTTCAGCTGTTATCATGACCCCGACTCGAGAGTTGGCTTTGCAAATTACCAAGGAGTGTAAGAAGTTCTCAAAGACTCTGGGACTTAGAGTTGTGTGTGTCTATGGAGGAACAGGAATCAGTGAGCAGGTACACACTATTTTATTTATAAACATTTCTTGGCACTCATCAGTTAACATCCTTTCATACAAATCCAGTATTGGTCTGAGCTCTCCTTTTTGATTTCTATTAGGTATCAGTATCTTAGAAGTAAATAGCCATCCTTGAAAGTCTAGTTTTAACAATCCCTTGCTTCGTCATGTGCATATAACTGTGTTCTACAAGCCAGTTTGCTTTAAGTCTCATATATATTTCCCAGAGTTGCAGAATATTTTTATATGCGAAGTTGGGCAGTACTTAAAGCATTTGTGCAATGTAACAATTAGAAATACCATCTTAAGGGCTTCTATGGTTTTACCTCCAGAAGTTCCCTAATTTTTATTAATGCCTCGAACACCTCCCCTAGATTCTCTTAGTTCTTGTTGTCTTTAGCAAGCATTTTTGTAAAGCTTGATAGTTTAATTTTCAAGCCAGTTTTTTGCCATAGAAATAGGAGCCTGGTAATACTTGCAGGATTTGGTAGGTTGCATGTGGCATCCTGAACTGCTGACCCCTCTGTGCTGCACACGCACCACCGGATTTGGCCCATACATCAGATGCAGCATGTGGGGCTGGTCTAGTGAACCATGAGCCAGATCCGGCCCACAGGTCATATGTTTGATATCCTTGCTGTAGAGTTTCTAAGGTCCCTACATAAAATAGCATACATGGGGTACTTGTTGTGTATAGGATTCATATGGCTATCATATGCTTTTGTAGCAACTATGGATCTACTTCTGGTAAGAAGTTAAAGAAATTTCCAAGTAAAAACTTTAAATAAATGACAAATACATAAAACCATTAGTGGGCTATTGTAGTGCTGCATGTATAGTTAATTATGGTGACTGAAAAGATTGCATGTATCATTCACTCTCTTATTTATAGGGTCACAGTTCTAAAAGTAACTCAAATGGCTTGTTAAATTAAATTTACTGTGTTTTTAAAATCAGATAGCAGAACTGAAAAGAGGTGCTGAAATTATTGTTTGCACACCTGGACGTATGATTGACATGTTAGCAGCTAACAATGGTGAGTAGAAATCTTTTTCCTTTGCACATTTTTAAAAATATTTTTAAAAATATTTGTGTAATTCAAATAAAGAAATTCAAGAGATCATATGTTTTGATAAATGGTCTTCTGGAATTTATTTATATTTCTTGAAGCTGTGTTATTCATTTTACCATGTCAGACAGTACACTAGTACAAATGACACTTTACTCATTTGCTGATTTTGAAAAACAGTAATTGTAGTATGTTTGAAATTTTTGTAAGGATTTTTGTGCCCCAAATTGGGATTAATTTAGGTAAAGGGAGACTTACCTAAATTTCACTTATTTTTACGTAATTCCTCCACAATGCTAATTAATATTAGCATAATTTAACAGCTGACTTTTACCTAAAAAGGGGCATGCCCAATAGAAGTTTCAACCTTTATCTCTTGATAAAAAAAACAAAAAGAATTACTGAATATGATTTTGGTTGTAATTAAAACTACTATCTTCCTCAGCTGAATATGTAGGTAGGATATGCTGGGATACCACAGCTTTAAGAGGTTTTGTTTTAGCATAATCATTGCATGCTTGTTAGACAAAGTTTGATTATTAAAATATTCCACATCAAAACCTCTACTAAACTGTTGACATTATTTAACTTCTGTGGAAAAAGTACCTTCAAGACTTATAGAACTGGGCTTCCAAGACTTAATCCGTCAAAGGTAGGTACATTAATGCTGTTCCCAAGTAATTTTGCAGAGTTATTATTTGGAGATGCAAATATTAGCATTAAGTATAGATGTAGATTTTTAGAAAAGTTTATTTTGGTAACTTAGTGTGAATTCAACATCTACAAATTCTGTATCACTCCTTAAAAAAGAATAGTTTGAGGATTCAAGGCAGTTATAATCTTGCTTAATTTAAGATGATAAATATTCGCATAGTGTGATAAAGCTGCCAGCTTGAATAAAGAATGTTTCTGGAATACGAAAATCATAATTCCAATCTGAGAACTCTCAACAGAGTGTCACTACATTATTGCTTGAAATCTGACATAATCCTGTGTCAGTGCTTTTTAGAAAAAACTTGCTTTAATTGCATTTGTGAAAAATCCCTTTGTATTTTACGCATACTTGTTAAAAGGTGCCCGTGTACTTGTTTGGGAAGGGTTTTGACTTGTTTATGCAAGACTGCTCCGAAGTGAGCTGTGAGTAATAGCTTACAACTGTTCATCTTGCTTCCACTTGTCCCAAAGACTGGGGTCTTTTAAGTCAATGGATTTGCTAGACAGGTTGGAAAATGTTGCTTATACTGTATTATGCATATTATTAGCAGTTTGTTAGAAATAGTTATGAATACCTAAAAATCATTATTTCTGAATGCCAAGAAGGCATTATATATTATATTATAAAAATAATCTTTTTTTCTGAGGCTGCATCAGTTAGCACTGAACTTTGCCTTCCACACATGCGCTGTAATCTCTAATATGTTTTTTTCTAGGTGGCGCTGTCAGATTATGGCTGATGTGGCTCGTTGCTTCATCTCAGTCTTAGTTTTATGATGTGTTTTGGCGAGGGCTGTTTTCTGAATTTTACAGGTTCTTCTGGCCCTTTGATGGTATGCAAGAGAAGAGTTTGACAAAATAAAGGGCCTTGTGCATACTTACACATTTTTCAGAATATATATAGATAGATATAATGCCATTAGAACAAGAAGTTTAAAACTCACTTTTAGTGATATTAAAAAAAAAAATTAAAATGCTGTTTAACTTTTTATATGTTGGTTAGAAGCTAGTCAGAATACTTATCACTTTACTTAAAATTATTCCTGAGGGGAAAACAAATTTCAGTTTGATTTTGTTTCCCCATGTTTTTTCCCCTCTCCTTTTCATAGGACGGGTGACAAACCTTCGCAGGGTTACATACGTTGTACTTGATGAAGCGGACAGAATGTTTGACATGGGTTTTGAACCACAGGTAATGAATGGCATAATGGATTTTAAGCAGTGAGAGTAATGGTGAGGGGGGAGGGGTGGTTTTCTTGTGACACAGTATAAATGATTTAGTTTAGTTTGGGGCCTGAGGACTTCCCAGACTATCCCGAGGCGCTTTTTCTCTCTCAAAATTAGGAAAGTTTTTTTCTTTTTCTCCCTACTAGAAGGTTTGTGTTGTACCCCTTAAAGGATCAGCACAAAATTCTAGCACTGTTTTGTTTGTGATGTTCCAACTGAGCCCACCGAATGTTGCTTCTCTGGCAGGGATGGCTCATGGTCTCCAGACGATGTAACTTGCAGAAAGCTGTTTGTGTTTTGTGGAATCCAATTATTTCTTAGCTTTAAAAATGACAGGGGGCTTATGTGAGCATGTATGTGTGTAAAGTTTGTTGCTAGAGCACTTCAATGTTAATCAGGATTTTACTGTTAAACCAGGTCATGCGCATTGTAGACAACATCAGGCCTGATCGTCAGACGGTCATGTTCTCTGCTACTTTCCCCAGAGCCATGGAGGCTTTAGCTCGTCGAATTCTGAATAAACCTATTGAGGTTCAAGTTGGGGGAAGAAGCGTGGTCTGTTCTGATGTGGAGCAACATGTAGTGAGTATTGCATAATTGCATCTTTTGTTTCTGTAGCAAGAAATCATTTCTGAAAGAATATTTAATGAAACATTGACATGGAGAAACAGTAGCTTATATTTCATTTGTATGTGTTGGAATAGATAGAGAAAATCAGCAATTTTTATTAAGTCTAGTCCTATCATGTCAGTTTAGTTTATTTTCCTTGCATGAATGGCATTAATTCCTTTAGAATTCCTTGTGAGGCCCTTCCATCCCTCCTTTGCTATGATCCTATGGCAAGGAGACACAATTTTCTAGTTTGATATAAAGAATGTTTTGGGAGATGCGGAGAGAGAGGAGATTTTCAGAAATGTTTTCTAGTGTTTTTAAAGACAGCATAACCTAATTACTTACACAATGGGGAACTCCCTACTTGAGAGCACGGAGGCAGAAAGAGATCTTGGAGTCATTATTGACTCCAAGATGAACATGGGCCAACAATGCGAGGTCATGGTTGGCAGGGCTAACCGGACCTTGTCGTGCATCCACAGGTGCATCTCGAGTAGAGCCAAGGAGGTGATCCTCCCCCTCTACGCGACGCTGGTCAGGCCACAGCTGGAGTATTGTGTCCAGTTCTGTGCGCCCCATTTCAAGAGGGATGTGGACAACATGGAGAGGGTCCAGAGGAGGGCCACCCGCATGATCCGGGGACAACAGGGCAGACCCTACAGTGAGAGACTGCGGGACCTGAACCTATTCAGCCTCCACAAGAGAAGGCTGAGGGGGGACCTGGTGACCGTCTATAGACTCACTAGGGGGGACCAGAAGGGTTTGGGGGAGACGCTGTTTCCCCTAGCGCCCGCTGGCATAACAAGGAGTAATGGGCACAAGTTGATGGAGAGGAGGTATAGATTGGACATCCGCAAAAACTACTTCACAGTTAGGGCGGCTAGGAGCTGGAACCAACTTCCAAGGGAAGTGGTGCTGGCCCCTACCCTGGGGGTCTTTAAGAAGAGGCTGGATGCCTACCTGGCTGGACTCATTTGAGTCCCGTTTCTTGTTTTGGGGTTTTGTTGTTCTCCCGCCCTGGCGGGGGGTTGGGCTAGAAGATCTACTAGGTCCCTTCCGACCCTAAATCTATGAAACTATGAAACTAATTGGTTTAACACAGCAGTAGGAAAGTTCTCATAGACATGCAACCCTCTCTGTGAGTAAAATATGACAGGTATTTTAAAGTAGTCATTTGCAGTTAAAAGTGGCATTTTTGAGCAGCCATCTTGTTTTTTCTGCGAAGTTGTTTGTCTAATGGGAACCAGAAATTCTCACTGTAATGAATGATGCTTGAAAATATATTCCAGTCGGTTCATGATGCTGGTCTTACATGGTGAATGTTTAGTCTGTTCGAATTGGCAGATTTGCGCCGTTGTTCATTCTAATTTTCAAGCACTCTGGTGATCTTCTACTATTTTGTAGTTTGTCATTTTGATCCTTGTAGTTTCTTTTTGATACAGTTGTGGGTTATAGGAAAAAAAGACATGCTTGTAATTGTTGCCTTTTTTGCACTTATGTCTATAAAAAATTATGATGGAATACTGAAATAAAAGTGAATTACCCTGACCTAGCTGATGGCTGCAGAGCTCTGAATGTGGGAACAAGTATATCGCAGTATCATTGCATAATTGTACACTTATATTTTAGAGTCACTTTGGCTTGCCTAATGCCTATGTTGCTGTCCTGGTCTGGAGAATTTTTTTTCTGTGGCCACTTTTCATTTGAATATTGCCTCTTCAGTGTAAACATTGGGTATATTAGTAGTCACTAAAACACTCAAAAAGCCCCTTCATTTGCAGATAGTAATATATCTAGTTTTTTTTACTGTTTCATATAGGTTACCTTACTGTCAGCTTTAGCACTTCCATTTCTGTCTGTGCATATGGCCTGAAGAATTTCTCTCTCTCTCGCCTTCTCCTGGCTCAGTTGAAACTCAAAAGCTGATCAAAGTCTAATCAAAGACAGATGGTGTGAAGTTTATGTTGTTAGCGTCTTCAGAGTTTTGTGTTTGAAGATGTAATCTCTGTTCTTTCTACTTCTGTTTTTCTGTTTTGCTTTTTTTAGATTGTTATAGAAGAAGAGAACAAATTCTTGAAGTTACTTGAACTGCTGGGACATTATCAGGAGAAAGGATCTGTTATCATATTTGTTGATAAACAGGAACATGCTGATGGGTTGTTGAAAGATTTAATGAGAGCTTCTTATCCCTGCATGTCACTTCATGGAGGTAATGTGCAGTCTTAAGGACATATTACTTTAAACTGGATCAATGGGGTAAAATAATTAAAAAGAAAAATGTTTTTATATGTTTCTTTATAATGTCACTGTAGACATTTAGAATATTTCTGCAGTTCACATAACTTTTCTTCACATTTTGAGTGGAAGTGCAATTGACTTGGCATTTTTCTTTATTACGTTAACTTATAAAGCACCATCATGTGCCAAAATATCACTTTATGCAACACGGTTATGAACCGAGAGTAATACATCTCTGGGAATATTATTAACTAATTGCTATTGCAGAGCCTGGAGGGCAGGCAAAAAACCCCATTTTTGTAGCTTTTGAGAAGCTAGTAGCTGTTGTTTCCCTTCTGTCATGAAGTAGTTATTTAAAAAGTAGAGCAGAAAAATCTCTCACTCAAACACCTGCCATCCCCAAGTGTTTTAAAAACTATGTAGAGTGATGTTGGTATACAGCAGCCAGCCCATGCATATCACATTCTCTAACTTTGGTAACAATGCCAGGGAAAATTTAGCCAAGGACATAGGAAAAATCCAGGTCTTAATGAAAAATGTCTTGCGCTTTTTGGTGCACTTGCAAAGTGGACAAAGCCTTCAGAAAAATTCAGTTGTAACAGGTCAAATTAACTTGTTTATTGAGATCGTTTTCTTTAAAAGAATGTTTGGAAGAGTTGGGTGGGACAGTCTTTGTAGAGAATTACTCTTCTGCTGAGACTGCCTGGTTTTGTTCAGAGTTCAACTGTTGTCTATTGAAATGGGTGAGTTGATGGAAATGCACAACAACCTGGTGCTGGGGGTTCTTTCAGCTTAGCTGAAACATTTTTTATTATTGAAAACCAAGACAGTAGATACAAAGAAGTAAATACAAACTTAGATGTATGGTGTTGTGTTGCTTCCTTGCAGGAATTGATCAGTATGACAGAGACAGCATAATTAATGATTTTAAGAATGGAGCGTGCAAACTTCTTGTGGCCACATCAGTAGCAGCAAGAGGCCTGGATGTAAAGCAGCTGATGCTGGTAGTCAATTACAGTTGTCCCAACCATTATGAGGATTATGTACACAGAGCAGGCCGAACTGGACGAGCCGGCAATAAAGTATGTAAAAGTAATTTTTCTTAGTAAAAAGTGGTTTTTATTTTTAATTAATTGATAACCCTGCCTTGTATATTGATTAATGTTGTAATGGGAATGGGAAATAAAAATATTTTATTTGTATTTGATAAGAGGAGGGGAGATGCTTTTTAGAGAAATGGGGAAATTTCAAACCACGGCTTCGTGTTTTGCCTTGCATCTCTGTGGAATGTAGATAATGCTTTTCTGGAGTAAGACTTTCTCTATGAATTTGGCTCTTGATGTTTGTGCTGGAAATGAGCATGAGTGGCCTTGTTTCAAACTCACCACCAGAGCCAGACCTAAATGAAAAGCTTTTAATTTTACAGTGAGTTTGTCAGTTGCCATGTTAACTGCATTTATTTATACTCTCCATTTCTATTAAAAAAAAATAGTTTTCCAATGCAGTACCCTTGCTAAGATCAACGAAAGAATGAAATGGTGTATTTAACAAGTACTAGGCTTACACTTGTGTATTAATGTTAAATAGGGATTTGCATACACTTTTATTACGGAAGATCAAGCACGGTATGCTGGCGATATCATTAAGGCTTTGGAATTGTCAGGGAATCCAGTTCCTGCTGAACTGGAGAAGCTCTGGGCTGACTTCAAAGATCAGCAGAAAGCTGTAAGTAATCTTTTCTTTTCGGTGTGTGGTGTTTATGTTGTGTTGCTTACATATTTGGGTACAAATTTTGCATGCGAATAACGTTGTGCACGTGAGTTGTTTCACTGACCCTCTGAAAACACTCATGGAAAGCAGTTGGATTGTTCTGGGGAATTTAACTGTGGTAGCTGGCTGTGTAGTTGGAAGAGGAACCGCTGAGCCTGCCTTGGGACCTGATGTTATCAGGGTTCATCTAAAAGACAGTGAAGTCTCTTGTAATATTTATATATTGTCTAAAATGGAGGTGTCAAAGATGTGGCCCACAGGCCAGATCCAGCCCACGAAGGTGCTTTGTCTAGCCCACCAACCTACTGGTGGCCAACTAGAAACTGGGCATGGCCAGATCAGGGGACCTGCTGCAGAATCCAGGGCCTGCAAGGCCCCAGTGAATGTGATGATCATTGGCAGGGCAGTGAGTGAGGGCTGATGCAGCCTTGGTCACTATTCAAGCACTTCTCCCATTGCTGCTGTCGCAGCCCTACCACCTCAGCTGTCAGCCCTGCCATCACTCCATGCTAGAGCTGCTGCCACTGCATGCCCCATGCCAGAGCTGCCACTGTGGCTGCATGTTTAATGCTGGAACTGCTACTGCAACCACGTGCCCTGGGCTGAATGTGCCTACAGGGAGCCATGTAGTCTGTATCTGGTCCAGGGTATGAGGTGAGTTTGATACCCTGATCTAAAAAGTTAACACCACGTCACATGGCCCAGGTATTTAGTATGAAGAGTTTCTTGTGTTCTAACAGATATTTCTCTTCACCTCAAGGGGCATTTTACTTCTTCACTCAAAACCCAAAATGGCTTACTTGTTCTTATGGAATTGATACAAAATTGTGTGTAAGCTTTTTGTTATAACTTACTTCTTTCGTGGTTTGGAAGAAGTTCTAAGTACCCTAATTTTTACCTTTGTTAATACATAACCATTTAAAATCAATAGTAACAGTAAATCAGTAGTAATAATAATCAAGACTAGTCTGTATTTTACTCCTGCTGGAAGTGTCTCTTAAAATTTGTGTTTGAATCTCTTTTGAAATATAATTATTCTTGCTTTGTAGGAAGGGAAGATTATCAAAAAGAGTAGTGGCTTCTCTGGCAAAGGATTTAAGTTCGATGAAACAGAACAGGCTTTGGCGAATGAACGCAAGAAACTACAAAAAGCTGCTCTTGGCTTGCAGGATTCAGATGATGAAGATACAGCTGTTGATGTAAGTACAAATAAGCTAGTAATTTACATTATAAGGGATTTTAGTTTGTTCACATAACACCTAATAGCACAAATTCAGTACAGTAGCAAATTGCAAAATATTTATTTTGTTATATTGTACTCTAGTTTACTAAATACATCTTGTGTGTTGCTCTGTGCTTTCTGTAATTCATGAAATCTCTCTCATGCGGAGCTGAAAATCATCCACCTGTGACTTACTGGTATTTTATAAGTAGATTAAGAATGGATGATATTATTTCATGCAGAGGACTCAAATATTTTTCAAACTTGTACAGTTAATTTAGTCTTATACCAAATGGAATGAGTGGTTACCTCATTCACAAAAAGCTTGTAGTTACAGGGCTTTAAAGAAGCACCTGGCAGCTTTCTCCTTGTCTAAATCCATATCAGATACTATTACTTAATGTTTGATACCGTTTCAGCGACCTGGAAAGTTATTCCATTGACTGCTGATAAAAGAGCAGTTGAAGAACTCCTCTTTCCTCACACCCCAGTTGTGTAGTTTTTGTGATACAAATGCCTTTTTCCCAGTCTGCAGTGTGTGATTATTAAGGGAACTTGCTGTTTCAGTTCACCCTGAAGTAGCACTTTTCATGCAGTGAGCTCAGAGTTCAATGTGAAACTGGAGGATAGTGTATGCACCTTACCCAGGGTCCGACAGTAACTTGTAGTGCAGGCTGAATTAGAACTCCAGTCTTCTCATCCCCAATCCTGTTTCTGACTACAAGACCCTTTCTCTTTGTTCTGCCATAGTTCTTGACTGGCACTGTAGCATTCATTGGTTGCCAGATCAAAAAAATTAATAAAGCAGTTGCACCTAGTGTTTCCTTCCACAATGTTGATAAGAACAGCATAATAGTAGTACCGATGTTGTCCTTTCCTTTAGATTGACGAACAAATTGAGAGCATGTTCAATTCAAAGAAGAGAGTGAAAGACATGGCAGCACCAGGAACATCTAATGCTCCTACTCCCACAGCTGGTAACGCAGAAAAACTGGAAATTGCCAAAAGATTGGCATTGAGAATCAATGCCCAGAAGAATCTTGGTGCAGAGGCACAAGTGTTTGTCCCTTTCCACTTCAAGGTCATGCTCTCTATCATGCAGATATTAATAAATGTTTAATATAATGTATTTAATTTTGTTTTACAGCTATGTTAACAGGTTGATCTCTGTGGTTCTGTCACATGATGCTGTTATGATTGGTCTGTATCCTCCAAATAGGGCTAACTGAGTGAGGGTGGGAAATTATATTAATATTTTGACTACTAGATTTGTAATTTTTTGGCGTGACAAAATGCATTAGTATAACAGCAGGGAGCTCTTCATCTGCCCTGACACACAGGCATTAATTATGTCTGATTTCACCAAGCATGACTACAGAACTTGCTAATTTTATCACAGTAGCAGAATGTCCTTTTTGGTTGAAATATATAATATATTATTGGAGGTTATGCTGTTTAAGTTAAAGTGAAAAATGGGGGTGTACATTAACAACATTTTGAGAGAACAATGGGTTATACTTGAAGGTGACACCAAGTTGCAGGGAGTAGTAGATACACTGGAGGGTAGGGCTAGGAGTGACCTAGACAACTTGGAGGATTGGGCCAAAAGAAATATCATGAGGTTCAACAAGGACAAGTACAAGGATATGCATTTAGGCTGGAAGAATCCCATGCACCGCTACAGCCTGGGGGCTGACTGGCTGGGCTGTGTGTCAGTGCTGTAGAACTGGGTGGGAGTTTTCCAAACAAATGATTTTTGGTTTATTGGAAAATGTGAATTCCTTTAAACCAAACTATTTTGAATAAATCTTAAGTTCCATGAACAGGCATTTCCAGCCTATTTACCTGGTGGGCTGCTGGGGAGTCTGAATTACCAATCTTAGTGGTTCTGGGCTTGCATTACCATGCAACAGCCTTGGGGCTGCTGCTGAGTTGAGAGCTTGGCAACCCTGGGAGTTCTAGCTCTAATAGGGGCTTTCTGGGATGCCAGGCTCCCGGCTGTGTGGCGGAGAGCCTGGGAGCCCTTACTAGAGAACTGAGGATTCTCTTTCCCCCCGTGTGTGGCAGGGAAGTTGCCAGCAGCTGAGGCAGATGGCCAGGCTGGTTCATGTCAGAAAAACTGAACTGAAGTGTTTTCATGTTTCCTAAACACTTGTTAAAATTTCCTTTCTGCCAGAAATTCCAATTCAGGATCTTATAATTTCTCACAGAGTTATAATTCCAAGGTTAAGCCAGCTCGATTGACTAGTACCATTGGGGTTTTATATCCATCATGGGGAGGGATGGCATCCTTGTTTGGCTTGGTACTTGGACAAGGAGTGAGTGTGGGGATGCAGGGATAGGGAAGGGATTATAGCCAATATTATCCTTGGCATGTTGGGATGAAACAAGGCTTTCTATTGCTGAGAGAGGAAGGAAAGGAAAGGAAGGTTTTCAGATTGTCCATATTGATGTGTGTAGAAACTTTCTAAAGCAACTCTGGTTCTAAAAAGGCCAGGTTTTTAGGGTGCTGCTGCCTCTGGCTACCTCATTTTGAATACAGACCTCTTTTACTACAGGATGTGATGCAGCAGGCAACAAACGCTATCTTGAGAGGAGGCACAATTCAGGCTCCTACTGTATCTGCCAAAACCATTGCAGAGCAGCTGGCTGAAAAGATCAATGCTAAGCTCAATTATGTACCTATAGAGAAACAGGAGGAAGAGAAACAGGAGGGAGGACAAAATGAATCCTTTAAGAGATATGAGGAGGAACTGGAGATCAATGACTTCCCACAGGCAAGTAACTGATTTTTGTTGAATCATATTTTAATAACTATCACTTAACACTGTTTTAGTTGGGACTGTGCAGATTTATAACGTGATCTTGCATTAGAAGGGATTTCTGGGCCTCTCAGATCTTCCTCTGCCACATCCTCTTGACATGTAACTGTGGTAATAAGTACCATCTACCTATTGGCTTTGTTCCTCCGTTCAGAGGTGCACAGTGCTTGAGATTCATTCCAAAATGCTTCCCAAGGAAGTTATTAGCATGTAAATCTAGGAAAAAAAATAGTTTATTTTTCCACCATCTCTTCTGGCCTTCTTTTTGTTTGGCTCACTCACCTATTCATCTCATAATTCCAGAGGCACCAGCTATACCACCCACCCCTACCAGTGGGAACGAAGTGCCTCAATGCCCCTTATGCCTCCGACAAAGGGACAGTGCCACTGCTCAACCTAACAAAACTGAGAAACTCCCCAGGGGGCAACTCATTGTCTTTTCCTGATAGGAGTCAAGTTACATACGTATAAATACAGTATGAGATGCAACCTGTTCCTGCCTTTCAACACTGAATGTAGTTGATATAGTTACAACTAGTTGATATACAAGACAATGCAGTTTGTCTCTGAAAAAAAACACATTATATGCTGATATTTTCTACTGAAATCTCATCATCTCTTTCCACACATTAGTATCTGAGCTTTTAAAAGTAGGCATGCAGAGATGCATGTTTATAATAGCATTTAATTTTGTTCCTTAGAAGAATTGCTTTCAACAAAGACTTGCACCCCTAAAGAGCTTTCTGAAAAACATAATGCTGATGATGAGAATTAGCAGAAAACTTGTCTTGGAAGTCGATTCCCATGAAAGGCTTGGTAAATGGTATTCTCGGCAGAGTGCTGCTGGGTAAAAGCATAACAAGAACAATTATTACTTTTTTGACTTCCCAGGAAACAAAATGGAGAACCTTGAGAGCTCTCCCTCCAGTGGTCCTGCAGATCCATCCTTTTTTTCCTCCCATTTATTTCCCTGACATAATTGATGGCAGTGGTAACATGGATTTTATTGCATATGTTCTTTTGGAACTGGGCAATTGCCTCATTGTTTGAAACCAAAATTCCACTTAAGACATTTCTGTTAAATAGTGGATCTCACCAGGTAATGTTGTTGCTGAAGTGCAAATATCTTTCTAATCTTTCGTGTTCAGACTGCCAGGTGGAAAGTTACATCTAAGGAAGCTCTGCAGAGAATCAGTGAATATTCTGAAGCTGCTATTACAATCAGAGGAACATATTTCCCTCCAGGCAAAGAGCCTAAAGAAGGCGAACGAAAAATTTATTTGGCTATAGAGAGTAAGTATTATGGGTATTTTTTAATTAGAGATGTTTTCCTTGTGCTATAGGTAGGCATTTGATTCTTTGTGGCATACATCTTTGGATCTTCACTCCCAGATATTCTTGAGTTATCTTGGGAATAAGTGTGGGTACCCACTCATTTGTCTCGATACTTTTTGCCAAATGGTTCCTGGAGTTGTAGGAACATTGATCCTGGGAAAACTTTGTGCGTCTGTCCATAATGAGGAGACTTATATGATGTCCCTGTATGAAAATATTTAAAAGAGAGTAACAGTAATTCATTTGGTACTAAAAATGAGGACAAATATAAAGATCTTGTTTGAGTCGATATGGAAAAAGAAAATAGCGTGCTGTTCCCCTGCAATTTCCGGCAGGGGTCGTATAACTGATCAAATCTATTATGTGTAACCCAGTGAATCTCATGGTTATTTTGACATGCTCCATTGCTAATGTTAGTTTGTCTGTAAAGAAACTTGTTCCAGGATGTTACTGAAGGCTGTAAACAGGGATTAAAGTTTTTAAGTAGGTTACTCCTTTTTTAAAAAAAAAAAAAGCAGTGCTGGTAGTCTACATTTATTACAGTTCAACAGCAAACCATTGAAACATTTTGATTGCCTTGACAGTAAACCTGCAACATTTACTCTTTACACATAGTATATAGAAGAGATTCTAACATTTGTTTTCTGCTCTCCAGGTGCCAACGAGCTGGCTGTGCAGAAAGCAAAGGCTGAAATCACGAGACTTATAAAGGAAGAACTAATCAGATTAGTAAGTGAAATGCATTAGATTTCAAAAGAGCATGTATGGCTTTGTTAAGATTTGCAGGAATGTTTAAACATGACCTACAAGATAAGTCGCTGTTAATATGTGGGACTATGTATCGGAAAATGTAGAAAATGGTGTAGCAGCGAACAGCAAGGAAAATACATTTCTCCACGTGTTATGGGTATTATGAACAGCCAGCAGATGGAGACAGGACACTAACTAAATTTTGTGATCTCAGACTCCTGGAAGAGTTGTTTTTCTATTCAATTTTTGTCTCTGGCTCCATAAGGCAGAGCTGCATTTTAACAGATTGGTTTTTAACCCTCCTGGTATTTAGTACCATTTGTGTCATGGTTTGTTTTTCTTTCTTTACCTTGCTGTGGACAGTACACCATGGTGTGGTAGCCTTCTGTGTTCTGCTTTCTGTTTTCAAAGGAAATTGAAATTGTCATGAGAAATGGAATTCTGAGACCTTCAGTATTAAAATCCTTGTTGGGGGGGGTGGGGGAAGCAATCACCAGTAGTATCGTAGGCTCTGCCTTTCTCTTCTGCGTACCTGCCAGTGGCCTTTCAGCTCAACAGTCTGGAGGTTATGTTGCTCTTGCTGTCTGTTTTTGGAACTAATTTTGATGCATTTTTCAAATTGTTGAAATCTGCATAAAAATTCCTTGCAAATTGCAAAGAGTGCATCACTACTGAGAAACTCAGTAATTATTTTTAATATCCACTTATTGCTGAGCAGTTTTTACAAATGGTTATTCATCTGTTCTGGCAAGCCATTGTGATTGACTTCTTTTTCTTCTTTCATTGCAGCAAAATTCATACCAACCAACCAACAAAGGAAGATACAAAGTTTTATAAATATTTGGAGCAACCATCTGCCAGTGGCTGGTGTGTGAAACTTCGTGGCTTCTCTTGTTTTTGCTGTTTACACTGCTTCTTGTAAATTAAGAATTTTTTATTTTGTCTTGTGGACATTTTTTAACACAAAATGAATATTTGCTGAGACATCTTCATTCTATCCGCTAAGGTTAGAAATCTTAAAGCAGACCAATTTTGGAAGGGTATGATTTAATTTAAAAGTGTAGTTTATATACATTTCACCTTAAAATGCTGAATAAAATGGATTTTAATTTTCCTGACAGACTCTAGTGTAATGTAAATTAAGCAGATTTGGGCTTTGCATTGGAAGTTAGTAAATAGTACTTACAGCTTCACACCCTGGGGGCAGTTCACACTTTATAACATATAGTGGAATTAGTGATTCAACACCAAAATAAGGGCAGAATTTTCCTTCCTGATCTGTATTCGCTCACGAACCTGTTCAGCCTCCATAACCTGTGCAAAACGCACAGTAATGGCATTTAGAGCCCCGTACTGATCAGAGTAGAAATTCTGTCCTAGAACAATTAGAAGTTTATTCTAAGGTTCTTTTTTTTCATTGTTCTGTCTCTTCCCTTGTTATAATTAATTCTTTGGGTGTTTTTGTAAAAAAAACAAAAAACAAAAAAAAACAAAAACAAAAAAACAAAAGATGCTTTGTAGTAGGAAAAGTGGTTTCAGCTTTTTTTCTAAACGTCAGGATTTTAGGATTTGTTTTTCCCCCATTCTTCAACCTGAGTTATAAACCTATTTAGTAAAAAAAACAAAAAAACCCAAGCAAACAAAAAAAAGAAACAGAATCAGCAAAATGAGAAACATCTTTTGTAATGCAGTATAAAGTTTGTCACTTTTTATAGTGGTGTATATATATATGTGTGTGTGTATATATACATATATACACATATATGTGTGTGTGTGTGTGTATGTATATATATATATATATATGCATTTAATGTGATATTTTCAGGAATGTTGTTATTGCTGTTAGAAAGCTGCTTTTGGCAAATAGTATTTGTAGGTCAGCCCTCCAAAGTTGACCACTATTGCATTGGAATGTGGGAGTTTACTGGGATAGTTGAAACTTAGTTTAGCTCTTCCTTTTGCTCCTGAAACTTAACGTTCATAGTGGTGATTTTTCTTTTTTAATATCCAAAAGATCTTGATTTAATTTTTTTTTACCTCTTGTCTGTAATGTAAGAGGAGGCATTAGAATTTTTGAGTCATGAAAAATTTTGAAGAGGATGAAAACCACAGGACTTTCTGATTTTTTTTTTCTTTTTTTTTTTCTTTTCCTTATCTGAATGTTGAAAATAAAGTTTTAAAATGCCTGTATGTAAGCATTAACCCTGTGAAGACAGATTCTATAATCTGCATCATGGTTATAAATTCACAGTTTCTATTTACAGAATTCAAGTAATTTAAATAATCATTTCCAGTTTGAGATCCTATAAATTTTTCTGGTTTTTTTTGTGTCATAGTAACCTTATTCTTGAGATACAAAAAATAACAGCTGCACACTTTCACTCTCTCCCTGAACAAAATGCCCTGAATACAGTAGTTGGCATGGTTAAAAAAATTAACCTGAATAGACTCAGAAGAAAGATTCATAAGGAAATATTTAAGGTTCTGTATCAACTCTCAAGCAAATTTTCAAACTTCAGTTCCTTTAAATGTTCAGGCCCCCTTTTGTTAAGATTGTTTTCTGAGAATGTTTCACATGGCTCCTGTGCTGATCTTTGTCTGACTTTCTCGCAGTACTGTAAATTACCATGTTTCTCAAGCTGTGGCAGGTTTTGATGCGTTTGGTGTGGTGTCCATTCAGGTTCAGACTTTGACTTCTTTTTTTTTTAAAAATGCCTTGGTTTGAAATGTTCTTGTTGGTATCTATTGACCAAAGCCACACAGAGATGTTTGTTATTTCCACATTCACACAATAGAGTTATCAGAAAGATCAGACAGTGTACAGTCTTTAACTTCCAGGGGATTTTAAAAGCAATGTCAATATTCCTATGTTTTTTAAATTACACCAAAAATAAAAATAATTTCAATGTGTGTTTTTTCAAAAACACTCTTTTTGAATAACTTATCAATGTTCTGCACTATGCTTTCGTCTGTTCACTTGTTTCTGCTGCAGCTAACTCTATACCAACCAATGGCAGCTATTCCTTTAAATGTAAGAAATGTCTACTCCCTGTGTATATATTAGGATCATTCTCTACAAGGAATATAATGAGATGTAGCGGGTCAGATACCAGTCAGTGAGGATCTGCTGCAAAAGAAGCATCACTGAATGTGTTCAGGTACTTGAAGTAGAGGGCAAGTTAGAGAGAAATGAGGCAAACGCAAATTAATAGAAAAGAAAGGCAAAAGAAAAAGAAAGGACCATAAAAGAAAAAATAAAAAAAATAGTGGTAACAAGGTAAGAATTAAGAGAGTTGGAGGTGGGGAGGGGGACAAGCAAGCTAGGAAAAGTTCATCTTTGTAACTGTTCTTGCACAGTAAAAGCCACCCCTCCTGCTAAGCTTCACAGGTCTGGGGCTTCCCTGGGCCTGTTTCCTGTCCCGTATGTTGGGAAAAAGGAACAATGCTTAAAAAAAAAAGTAGATATCCTATTTATTCTGTTGTTTACCCAAGACAATATATTCCCAGCTTTCCGTATTTTTCTTTTGCTTTTGATGCTTGGGTAGGTAGGTGATGCTGGGTCATGGATGAATATCCATTTATTTACATTTTACTGTAATTAAATGTTGCTGATAGCCTGTGGGTTGCAGTGGGTAGTCCTTGGGCATCTCTTTTGTGGTTGGTGATAGAACCTCTGTGCTCCAAATACCTCCTGCCTATTCCAGGGTGTGCTGGGTAGAATGCAGCTGTGTCACACTTGAGCATGCACTCATTTCAGGGTCAGGTTGTGATTTTGAGTGTGTGTTGGTGCAAGGGAGTGAAGGAACAGTAAAAATGCCCCTTATGTTACCTGTACCCTGGGTCCAGTGCAGGGGGCACCCAGCAACAGAGCTTGGCATGGGACTCCGTTTTTAATTCTGCATCTGTCTTGCCTCATAAGAAACCCTTTTCACTCCCTCTTTTTTTCCCTTACATTCTATCCTGTCCTTACCTACAGAAACTTCAGTCATACTCATTCATGTACCATGAATAGACATTTTTAATAAATGAAAAATTTTCTCTCCATCCAATTTTGGTCACACTAAAATATGCTTTTCCCATTAGCATGGAGGCTGGTGCTAGAGGTATCCTGCTCCCATTGTAGTGTACCATTTACCTCTTGCATCTCCTCCGCTAGCTATTAAAATGGACAAATGGCAGAGCTTTGCTCTATCTTCTGCCCAGGACAATAGAGTTGGGATGGTGAGTTTTCTGACTTGCTTCTGGTATAGGGCACACTTGATCTTAGCTCACAAGAGGCCCACCCCTAGGTAAAGAGGACCATGCCCCAGAGGCATTTGAGTTGAATCTCTCCCTTGGGTAACTTGTATGAGTGGTCTACATGATGCATTACTCATTACCTATGACTGTCCCTATTACTGCATTGCAGTAGCACTTTGGAGCCCCAGGTACGGATCAGGTTACCATTTTTCTAGCCCTACAAAAAGATGGTCCAAAGTCACACTTAAGCACTAAGCTTGTAGGCTCTTTGTCATGAACACTGACTGGTTTCATCCACCAAAGCAGTGTTTTCAACCTGTTTAGACTCCAGGCATCCCTCAGAAAATGCCGGCTCTTAGTTTTCACTCATTTTATGACTACATAAAAATAGGGCAATTTTTCTGGTGCAAACAGCTCAGGACTACAACAGGTCGGAATCTTTTTAACACTACTGGATTCCTAATCTCTGGGTTTATATTGTGAAGCATGCTTGCACATCTAACAGAGCTAACATTGTTTGGCACCCTTTGTTACCCTTGAAAGGATCTCCATGTACCCCAGGGTGCCAGGGCATCCTGACTGAGAATTGCTGCACCAAAGATTTCACAGTAGTGGAGTTATTTAAATGCATCAGGATGGTGTATAACAGTAAAATGAGCACTGGGCCCCAAGACCACAACTCTGTGGAGCTCATCCCCTCTACATGCAACTTGTCAGCACAGCAGTATAAAAGCACTGTCTTTGCCTGCCTTCTGAGCTGCGGTTGTAGCTTCATTAGCACAGCAGCATGATGGACATGTGAAAAGAGTGACTGAATATTTTCATGCTACTGTAGGTTGCAGGGAATATACTTTGTACAAAGCCTATTCCCCAAAGATCTTACAATCTCATGGCACTCAAGATTCACCAAAGTGTGGAAGTTTGGGGAAGGGGTCAAAATGGGATGGAAAGATTGATAGGTAGAGATGCTCTTTATGTCACCTTTGCATGTATGGGAGGGGAGGGTGATATAGGTGTCAGGGAGGCAATTAAAACAGAAAATAGCAGGAGCCAGTACAAGCGTGCTCTGGAGAGAGAAAAGCAAAACTTCTTAGAAGGGAGGCTTAGTATTCTGCTGCTTCAAGGCCCCTTTGCAATTGTCCTAGGACAAAATACATTGTTCATGTGTAGTTGTTAATGTTAAGAGTTATCCAGTTATTTCAAAATTAATAATTCTGTCAGTTCTACAAGAATATTTTTTTGCATTTTCAGCACTCCAGTAAGCGGCTTTTTTACCAGTCTTTAAGTATTATGCTTCTGAGCTGCTGAGGGACAGGACAGAAAACCTTAAAACACATTTGGTCTTTTTGGGGGTGGGGGGTGGAACTAAGAATCTATGACACTGCTGAGATAGAGAATGTGGCCTGTCAGGTGGCAATGAAATTATATGTATATTTGGACTCAGGCAGATATTAAAGAACCAGCAGAAACATCAGCATTTCCCAGGAGTTCCTCTATGCAACGTGTGCATGAAAAACTTCCTCAGAGAAGTCTGTTGGTGAAGTCAGTGGATTTGGGGGAGGAGGATGGTCTAGGTTTTGTTTCTTGCTTGGCTGCAAGCATTCTGAATGATTTGGGACAAGTCAGTAACCTCTGTGCCACCATTCATTCCCCATCTATAAAATACACAGAATACTTGCGTACTTCTCATGGGATTCTGAAGGTAAATTGATCGTGCCATGCTCTCATAGTATGATGATGAAGCCAAATGTGGACTAAGACAATGTAGTGTAGCATCCAGAATTGTCTAGGCCGTGCTGTTGCTACACACCAAGCAGCTTTTACAGAAGCTTAAAAGCAAAACACTTGCTTTACATTTCTCTGCTTTCCCCAAAAATTGTATATACATTTGTTAGCTCAAGCTATTCTTTCCATCTCAGATGCTCCTAGTGTTAATTTAACTCAATTAGCTAAAATGTGCTTTACACAACAGCTGTTGTGTTTCATCACTAAAATGCCTGAAATGGGACAATGATGGCAGGTGCCCAGGTTTGTAATTCAGAGAGCTTGGTTTTGATTTAACAGGTGATAATTTCAAAAACTGCACACTGAGCACATTCAATTCACTGACAATTGACTTGTGCTGCCCAAGTGTGTAATTGCACAATTATTGGTCAAGGAACTTAAAAGCCAGAAAAGAGCAAAATTTATTTTCTCTGTAAAATAAAGGGAATGGCATTCAGAAGACTGTCAGTACAACGTGGACGTTGCTGAGGAAGAATCCATTAAAAGACGAAATAAATGCATCAATGTTCCATTAAATTGGCTGTCCTGCACCTTGTTTCATCGTGTTTGTGGGTAAACGTAGCTCAAAGCTGTTGTCAGAATATAACAGACGTGTAGCATGACCTGG